AGACTGGCAAAAAAAAAATGGGACTGGGAATATTGCCTTGCATGCATGAGGCCCTGGGTTCGATTCTTCAGCACAACATACACAGAAAAAGCTAGAAGTAGTGCTGTGGCTCAAGTGGTAGGGTGCTAGCCTTGAGCACAGAGAGGTCCAGGGATAGAGCCCAGACCCCGAGTTCAAGTCCCAGGACTGGCAAAAATAAATTTGCAAAACCTCATTTGAAGTTCCTAGAGCACCAACTTATTATTTTAAAAAATGGATGGATTTCTGATAGTGGCATTTCAGGGTAACAAAAGAGTTGGTGAAAAAAGATGTTTAGGGTAAGATTTCGGCTAATAAACGAAGAGGAAAGGGTTGAATTAGGAAGTTACTAGTTTACAACCTTTATTGAACCACCATTAATAAAGGCTAAAACAACAGAGTGAAGGTTGGGGAAAACCTTCATGCTGTAGGAACCAAGCTGTGATAGTAAGAATGAAACTCTCAGCCTTGGCACCCTGTGGGAGATTGAGAAGTTACCCAGAAAGCACTGGGAAGGAGGTCGTACCTAAAGAACAACCTGGGCCTAGGAAAAACCCTACAACCAGCTGGTTGGTCATAGGGCTTAGGTGCTGTCCCTGCACTCTTCAGCTCAAGGCAAACGCTTTACCACTTGAGCCACAGCACCACTTCCCGCTTTCTGAGTGGTTCATTGGAGATAAGAGTCTCATGGAGATGGCAAGGTGGGGTTGCAGTGAGTACCGCTGGGTTCAGGTGCAGCGTGGCCCCTGTTCTCCTTATTCCCACAGCAGCTGGCTGACTCCAACCGGGAGGTGCTCCTTCATTCCCGGCCCTCACGTTTAGGAGCTCAAGCCTAGGACAATGGTGTGCATTCCTTGTATCGTCATTCCAGTTCTGCTCTGGATCTTCAAAATTTTCCTGGAACCATACTTGTACCCTCTGGTCTCCCCTTTTGTTGGCCGTATATGGCCTAGAAAAGCTGTACAAGAAGCCAACAATAAAAATAAGGGCATAGTAGGCTGCAAGGCGGCAGATACAAATGGATTACCAACAAAAGGACCAACAGAAATCTCTGATAAAAAGAAAGACTAATGTGATTTTCCCCAAAGGATCTCGGCTGTTTGAAAAATAAACCTGATGATATGAAGCACCTTCTTTGTAGTTGTATCTGACCTTTTTCTCTGAGACCAGAATTCTGGATAGACAATTTAGATGTTACCTGGTACTAATCAGGAAATACATGTATTTATATTTAAAATGAACTTAGTTGTATTTAATGACCTCATTTCTGAGATCCTTTTCCATTAAAGTAGCTCCATTCCCTTATTACTATTTTAATAATATCAATAAGTAGGAGATTTGTGCCAGTAGAACCTCTACTTAAAATCCTTGGTCCTTTAGCACTTGTTCAAAAGAATTTGCCATTTGCTGTAACTTAAAGGGTTCTAATTTGAATAATTTTACTGTGAAATAGTACAATGATAATGATGTGAAAAGATGCAATGCAATAGTTCATAAGAGTAGTAACTGCTGCTTATGGCTCTGATGAAAGTGAAAAATGTGGAAATAGAAAAAATTCCTTGATAAATGAAACATCTTTTACATATACATCTAATATATAAATTATAATCCTGTTGCATTCCTTCTGTTCCTACAAATGCATTAAACATGCAGTTTAATGCTGGGAAGGTGGCTCAGTGGTAGAGTGCTTGCCTTGCATGCATGAGGCCCTGGGTTCAATTCCTCAGCACCACATAAGCAAAAAAAGCCGAAAGTGGTGCTGTGGCTCAAGTGGTAGAATGCTAGCCTTGAGCTGAAGAGCTGAGGGACAGCGCCCAGGCCCAGAGTTCAGGTCCCACAACCGACAAAAAAAAAAAAAAGAGACTCATAGACTTTTCTTGCCTGGGCTGGCCTTGAACTGTGATCTTCAGATCTCAGCCTCCTGAGTAGCTAGGAATTACAGGTCTGAGCCTCCAAGGTACCTGGTGAGAGGAACATTTTTGAAACTGGAGTGGTAGGTGTAAGATCGCAAGCCAATAAAAATTTGGGGATGGTGATTTTCAGTTTTCAGATTTACTGTTTTTGTTTTCACAGGGAGATAACCTTAGTGGGAAGGAAGGCAGCCCTCCACCCACTGGGGAGCAGGTCCCCGAGGACAGGGACAACAGTGCCGCTTCACAGCCACACCTAGACATGCGTGTCACCACACCATAGTTAGAAAATGGCTCAGATTTCTGGTTGCTTTTCCCAGAACTCAAAGATCATCTTCCTGTTTATCTTGGTGGAATGCCTGTGTTACACTTGTGATTTTTCTGTTCTCTACCAGATATTCAAACAAGATTGTCACAGATGGGGGCGGGCGGGTCAAGGGGTCACTAGTCACAATCAGATGTTGGATTTCCTGAGTAGAAAAGATACTCGGCTGTGAACTACAAATGTTTTTATGGAGACCAGAGGACCTCCGCCGGCCTCTCTGCCCTGGGCTTCTTCACAAGGTCCCAGTCCTTCCTAGATTCATCTCCTCGCGGAACACTGACTTGCATTTATCTTTCAGTGTGTCTCTGGTCAGTTCTCAAGGACTATGGCCTCACAGTTTTGGAAAATATTCCCTACCCAGAACAGGGAGGTCAGTCTAGGTCGGCAAGAAGGGAGATGCCAGCCCCTTTCTGTTCATCCGTCCCTCAGTTTCCACAACAGTATTCTTGGTTAGCTTTGGGGAGAACTAGTCTGGCCTCAAAAGGCACCAGCTGTTGGAAGAAGGGGCTCACCCCACTACACCTTCTATGAAATGAGTCAGTGCAGTGTTGAGGACTAAGTTAGTTAATATTGACAAAACGTTTAGAACAGAGTTTGGTGCCTTGTAGCAAGCACCACACACTTGCTGTGAGTGGATTCCTAAGGGCAGAGAGGGTTCTGCCTTAGCAGTGAGCCAGTGCTAACTGAATCCTCCTGCTGGGGCCCCAGGGGCTTCCTGGCCTAACCACTGACCCATCCCTGCAAACTAATGATAGGTTGAAACTTGACGCCATTGAAATGAGCTCATGAACAATTACACCTGACATTCTGAAAGTGTGCACCTTTGGAAATATTTCAAATCTGTATTTTAAAACTGGAAACTTTGTCAGTTTCATACTTGGCTGATAAAGTATATTCAATACACCCATGTTGTCTGGCACCTGTGGCTCCTGCCTGCAATCCTGGCTACTCTGGAGGCTGAGATCTGAGAACTGTGGCTCAGGGCCAGCTCATCTCCATCCTGAAGCGGGGGTGTGGTTTAAGTAGGAAAGACCCAGCCTTGAGCAGAAAAAGGTAAGGGGTCTGAAGGCCCCAAGTTCAAGCCCCAGGAACGGCATGGAAAAAATATATACACATCTTGAATTTATTTTTATTTATTTATTTTTGTCTGTCATGGGGCTTGAACTCTGGGCCTAGGTGCTGCCCCTCAGTTCTTCAGCTCAAGGAGAGTACACTTGAGCCACAGTGCCACTTCTTGTTTTTGGGTGGTTTATTGGAGATAAGAGCTTCACGGACTTTCCTGCCTCAGCTGGCTTTGAACCATGATCCTCAGATCTAGTCTCTAGAGTAGCTAGGATTACAGGTGTGAGCTACCTGCACCCAGCTTGAATTTGTTATTATGAATATTTGATTGGAACATTAACAAAGTTTTGATATGGACATTTCTTTAATATATTTCAAGCAAAGGGGAATAATGTATATTTCCTTTTCCTGTCACAGAACTATATGTTAATTTTAAAAGAAACTTGGCTATTTTCAACACCTATAAAAAACTAAATTTTGAGCCATGTACTGGTAGCTCACGCTTGTAATCCTAGCTACCCAGGAGGCTGAGATCTGAGGATCACAGTTCAAAGTCAGCCTCGGCAGGAAAGTCCGTGAGACTTTTTTTTTTATGCCAATTCTGCCTTTGGGAAGCACATTGCTAGATTTAGATTCTGATAGACTTGAATGATAAAATCCTTCCTTTTGGATGACAATATTTGAAATGAGAATACATGAAAGTTTGTCATAATGGGGCTAGGGTGTTATGTGTACATTTTATTTATTTATTTGGGTTGGTCGTGGGGCCTGAACTCTGGGCCTGGGCGCTGTCCCTCAGCTCTTCAGCTCAAGGCTAGCGCTCTACCACCTGAGCCACAGCACCACTTCCGATTTTTTTCTTTTTGCTTATGTGGTGCTGAGGAATCGAACCCAGGGCCTCATGCATGCAAGGCAAGCACTCTATTCAAGGCAAGCACTCTACCACTGAGCCACCTTCCCAGTCCCCTGTGAGATTCTTATCTCCAATAATCTACCAGAAAACCGGAAGTGGCTCTGTGTCTCCAGTGGTAAAGCGCTCACCTTGAGCTGAAAGGCTGAGGGACAGCGCCCAAGCCCAGAGTTCAAGCCCCACAACCCACCAAAAAAACAACACACACACCCGGTCATTGCTCCTCGACTTTAGTCCTTTCTGACTTGCTTTGCTGGGAATCTCTTTGCTACAAAAGGCAAAGCTAACCATTCCAGCATGTTCTGTCCTGTCGCCCTGGTCCTTGTGGGGCACAAGGTCCTGGGTTGTACTTTATTAAAGGCCTGTTGTGGCTCCTCCACCTTGGCTGAGCAGCGAATTGCCGGTGCCTGAACCGGGCTTTGGGAGCCCAGGCGCGGTGGAGCGGGGCGGGCCTGCATCTTCGGGGGGGGCGCAGGCAGGTGGGCTAGACCTGGACGGGGTGACTGCAGGTCCTCATCTCAGCTTCCGGGTTTCCCGGAGGCCTGCCGTTGGTGTGGAGGAGTTCTCGGATTTGAGTCTGTCCAGTTGGGGAAGGTCTTTGTGGCGTGAGAAGCTCCCTCCCCTCTCTGGACGCCTCGGTGACCCAGCCGCGCACGGGCCAGGAGGGCCGGGCCGCCCCGCCGCGCGTGGGCCCCACTAGAACATAAACACGAGTGGCCGGGGCTCCTCTGCCCAGGACCGCCCCGCCCCCGACGAAAGCAGCCTGCCGTGCGCGATGGCCCCGCGCGCCCGGCCGGCCCCAGCGCCTGTCCGGTCAGCATCTTCAGTATGCGCGCCGCCGGCCCCGGGGCTTGAACTCGGGGCCCTGAGCTCCGTTCTCCGGAGGCCGGCGCTCTACCGCTCGACCCTTGCTGCAGGGCTGGCCTCGAACCGCGACCTTCGTGTCTCAGCCTCCCGACGGCCGGGCTCCGCCGCTGCTCCCCTGGCCGTCCCAGCGCGGCCAGCTCCCGGGTGGACACCGGGAGAACAGAGCGGCCCAGAGCCGGG